ATTCAAATTCTACTTTTTATGGAATTTGAGATTGTGTCACAATGGCAAGAATCGTTGCATTTATCCACAGTTGAATTAATTAAATTAAAGGGTTGTCAAAATTGGTATCTGCGCACATGATTTAAAATAATCGATCATTGAAACAATTATTGATTGATTATTACCTCATATACTTATATTCCCATACCTTTCATATATACCTCATATATCTTACCCTTACATAAGTATATTTCTATATTAACTTATATTAACAACAACAATAATATTATTATCATTCATATCTATTCATACCTCCCATTATTACAAATCAATTTTTTTTTGTGGATTGAATTTTTAGATTATTTTTATTATTATTATCGCGCGTAAATGTTGTCGTCGAAGAATTGTGTATTGAAGATCTGATCTCATTATGTAGAAGAATTAAAGAATCAGTGTAATAAACACGTTAAAAATAAATAAAATTGAAATAAATAAATTTATTTTTTTCTTTTTATTTATATTAGTAAAATAAGTTATTCTATATTTAATTCTATCATTCATCTTTTTTTTTCAAAGATTAACTTCATTATCTTCATTATATTATTATTATATTTATTATTATATTTATTATTATATTTATTATTATATTTATTATTATATTTATCATTATATTTATCATTATATTTACATTTTTTAGGTTGATGAATTCGTAAACCCAAAAACCAAGAAAAAAAGTTTTTGTTATAGAATAAATTATAGATCAATGGATAAGTAAGTTTTAAATAATATTAAAATAATAATAAATTAATAATAATAAGATATATAAAATAATAATAATATAATAATGATATATTTTATATTTAGAACATTTACAAATGAAGAAATAAACGCAATACAAGAAAAATTAAGAGACGCAGTGACGGAGAAATTGAATGTAACTTTGCGATAAAAGTTTGTTTTATATTATTTTATTTAATTTTATTATTTATTATATTATTTAAATAAAATACAATATAATATAATAACAAATATTTATTTATATATACACATATTATATTATTCTAATAATTGTTCTAATTATTCTAAAATTATTATTCTTCGTGTTTATTATTAATTTTATTGTTATTAACATCAGAAAACAAATTATTAATTGTTTCTAAATCATTTAATTTATGAGCAATAATTTTATAAGTTTTATCGTCGTCATCATCATCATCATCATCATTAATCTTTATTCTCTTTCTTAATGTTTCCACTTTCTCATTATTATTACTATTATTATTATTATTATTATTATTATTATTATTATTATTATTATTATTATTATTATTATCATCATCACCGTTATTATCATTATCGTCATTATCATTATTTCCATTATTATGACGTTTTTCTTTTTGCTGC